GGAGAGTATCGCCCAGACCTGTCGTAGTTACCGAAGCAGACACAGAAGAAACTGCTGTTCGCGAAGTTCATCACGCGGTACTGTCAAAGAGACCTAAGGATTTGTACGAGTTGTGGGGGGAATACGAGTTTGGTTTGAACGGCTTAAAGCCTGCGAAAAGAGTTCACCGCTGCTGAGCGTGAAGCCAGTAAATTTGCCTACTCTCACCGCAAAAATTTCTGGGACGTTATCTCTGGGTTTGTTCGCGCAGGGTTCACCAGTGATGTTGCTATCGACAAAGTCTACGCTGCGTACGGTCGTCAACTTCCCGTGCCTAAGGTCTTAATTGCCCTTCGTCGCGATAAGCGACAAGGTGGTCATCCGTCGCTCCGATTGTAGTTTCAGTAAATAGGTCTACAAACACAGTTTTCACCAATCACAACACGGTTGCATTCTCCGTTGCACGTTTGGCTGATATTTATACAATTCCAACGTAAAAAGTGTCTTTTTTTAAGATTTTCCTGTGGATGATCATCATGAAGAACAAAAGTGCTTGGTACGCCGCCTCCGAGATCCGGTGTAGCATGCGGGTGCCGCCAATTATTTGCTGTCCGACGTCGATCCGCCACATTGTCACCATGACTTTGGGGTTGGTACAGATGGACGACCTGCTGCTGCTGGATTACTTTGTTGACTAGAGCCTCAAATGAGTCATGAGCGATTGCCGCCAGCACATGTAAACGCGTTGCCACCAAATGCAAACCAGATGCCCTCGTTGCTTCCCTTTACCAAGCTGTCCCGCTCCGTTGACCAACTGCAACACCCACTTATCCCATCGCATGGAGATTTTTGGGAGAGGTTTCACTGCTTTTAATCAGCTCAACGTTCTGATGCCATTAACCAAAATACTCCGTAGCGGAGTTTCGGACGTCGCTATCGCTCGCGTAGTCCCCGCCAGCTTCATCAACATGAAGAGTCTTCTACGTAGATTTCACCGTGCACCCTCCAGTGAAGCAAACGTGCCGTGCTCCAATAGCCGTCAAAGTAGATTCAGTCGTTCCAGTAGAATCACTCAAAAGGCTTTCGTTCCAGCAGTCAAGCCTCTACCTGAGTCACTGGAATCTCCTACACGCAGTCGAAAGCGTGATCGACTCCGAAACTACCTCGCTCGCCGACGAGAGAGTAAAACCAAAGACAACCTGCCCTACCTATGGCCAGCAATTCTATCGGCCGACAAGGAAGAGATCCGATCTTCAGATGACACAGAAGATGGCGACGACGTCTACATGGTTGATTACCATAGCGACTCGGATTCGGATGACGACTCGCTCTGCGAAGACGACTACGTAACTCCACCTGTGGCTATCCCAGAGATGTATCGAAGGCAAGACCGCCAAGGTGGCATTACGGTGGCGGGGGCTCGAGTTCTGTTCACATATGCTGCATTCAAGCGACAGCAAATGATGCGGGGCAAGCTCCAGTCGATCCCTGAAGTTGATCAGCTCTCGATCCCTTTGGGGCTGCATCGGGAGCACATCGTCATCGGAGCCTATTGAGAATATTGTCTTAGTTGTTATGAAGCGTTGGCCAACGCAGCAGGGTAAAACATTTGCGTCTTACCATTTCCACTTGCTTTCTTGCTTACCATCCAGTCGTTGATAATTAGTTCTTCATTATCTCTGAGCAGCCTCGCCAGCTCTCCTTGCAGACTGACGTTCATGTGATGCATC